TATATATATATATATATCTTTTCACCCTCTTTCTCCTTTTCGTTTCGGTGTTTGTGTTCGCTTTTTTTTAAATACTTCTTCGCCTTCCTCCCTCGATGCCTTGGTCCCACTCGCAAACAGCAATCGCACGCAGACACTTACACGCATACCTTATATTTCACTCAGTTCCCCTCTTCTTGCTTCTTTTTTTTTCTCCGCTGCTGCTGCTGCTGCTGCTGGTGGTGGTGGTCGCGGTGGACTCTTGTTTGTTAATTCATTCCTATTCCTTCTTGTGTACCCACCACCCCACCATCTTTTTTGTTCTTTGTAAATAAAAAAAAGAAACTTTACTCCTCCAACTCCTCCACTGCAGTGCGTTAAAAACACTTTCTCGCTTCCCTGACACACGCACACACACATCTATATATATATATATATAGATGTGTATTTCTTCGTCTTGTTTCTTTCCGTTTTCCTTCTTTTTCTTGTGCACCTCCGTCGTCTCTCCTCACACACGGGCCTCCTTCCTCATTGCCAGCAACTCCTTAATTCCACGGCGCCGTCGTGAAGTTGAGCGAAAGTCCGCCGCAGTTCTCCTGCGCGAGGGCCCCGGAGCCGCTCTGCAGTCCGGGCGGCGCGAAGAGCGGCGCGGCGGCCTGGAGTGGATCGGTGCTGAAGAGACCGCCTGGCACCGTCGTCGACACCGACGTGTAGCGCGGCTTCTCCGGGAAGCCACCGCCCGCAAGCACGGGGCTACTCGCAGAGATGCCGGCCATGGGCGATGTCAAAGTGGGCGATCGCTGCGAGACGGTGGCACCACCGGCAACGACAGTGAAATTCGAGTGCGAGGCAGTGCTGCTGCCAGTCTGCGCTGTCACCATTGATGTCGGGGTAAAGGGGCGAGCGTTTGCGTCCAGCGTAAAGCGTGTCACGGCGCTGGCTGTGGTGAACGGGGCAGTTACTGTGAAGCCGGCGGACGGTGCGGTCCCCGTGCTGTTCACAACGTCCGCAACGCCAAGGGGCACCGCGTCCAACTGCGGCAGCGGCGGCTGCTGGGAGAAAGTGGCCGACGGGCTGTCGAAGATACCGCCTGTGCTGCTACCTCGGACGGCCGTTGTGAACGGCAATGGCTCCGCCAGTGGGCCCCACGTCGACAGAGCGACGCCCAACGCGCCGCTCGTGCTGACGGCGGCCCCCGTGGCGGTGGGCCCCAGAGGGGGCGAGAAAGCCCCAGCGCCACCCACCACAGCAGAGCGCGGAAGCGGGATTAGAGGACCACCACCACCAGCAGCAGCAGCACCAGTGGAAGAAGATGTGGGAGCAGTAGTAGCGCTCGCGCCCACCAGCGACTGTGGTGTGCAGTGCGCTGAGGATTGTGTGGGGGATGTCGCCGCTGCGAACAGACGAGAGACCGCACCGTTCGTAGAAGATGGGGCCCAGAAGGAATCAAGGTCGTTTATTGCCAAAGTCTCGTGGCGTGTTGTGGAAAGCTCAGGGATGTGCAGCGCTGCAGCCAGCTCTCGCTGTTTGAGCCACCTTGCCTCTTGCCGCTCCCGAGTCCGCGCAATGCAGGCTGTGGTATCGGACTCTAGGCCAGAGAGCACTTCACCATGGCTTTTGAGCAATTGGCGCAGTCTCTCCAGCTCTCGGTTACCCTCTTCGATCTGTTCCTTGAATCGATGTATCGCCTCCTCTTCTTTTGTCTTGTCTTTCGTCAGTTTGTTCACATGTGCGCGGTTGGTGGTGACCGTTTGCGTCAACATGTCGAGCTCGCGATGCAGCTCAGGGCTTGGACCGACCTTTGCAAGGAGTGTCTTGCGTTCACGATCCTTCTTCCTCTGAGCCGCCTTCTGCAATGCTTTACCATACTCGTTCATGAGTTGGCGGTAGACGCTATTCCACGCCTGCTCCACACTCTCACGTTCTTGCGTTTCGTTCCTTTCGAGTTTGCTGGTGAGCTTCTCCCACTCTTTGAGGCGCTTCGCCCTCTCTGCTGCTGTTACCAGCGCCACCTGTTGGTCGCACCCACAGCGTTCCGCGCTGTGGTCGCAGCCTCGCCTTGTACACGTGTTTTTGCTGCTGGTGTGATTGCTTTCCGACTTCTTCTTTCCATCTTCAAGTGGGGTACCGTCAGGGTGCATCAGCTGCATCACGTACTGAAAGACGAGGCGGTCCTCCGTGCGGTTGTAGAGGCGGTACCCGGACTGCGACATGGTGGAGCTGCGCAGCGCCATCGTCAGTGGAACAAAGTTGTCGAACCCGATTAGCTCGCCTGGTGCAGCCTCTCCCTCTCGCTCAATAAACAGTGCAGAGCTCTCCCTGAGCGTCGATTCTTGGCTCGGCGAAGCGTCAGCATTGCCATTGTTGTTGTCGCCGATGGCGCCATTGTTCTTCCGCCTTTTTTTAGGGTCCTGCGTCCGCACGACCATGTGTGCACGAAGGGAGCTGCTGTGCCGATGCCAAACGTAGAAACTGAGTTCGTCATTTTTTACCGCCAGAAGCGCATACCAGCGAACCTTCTTGCAACTAAACCGATTACTTACCAGTCGTTGCAGCGCCAGCTCCTTCATGAGTTTGGCGTTATCAATAGTACATGTGTAGCGCCCAGGGGCGTGTTCGTGTATCTTCATCTGCGGCATGAATGGGACCTTCGTGATGAAAGGCACAGTGTGTCGGAGTGGGTAAAAATAATGACTGATCCTCTCCGCCAGGAGCTCAGGAAGTTGATTGGCGTCGGCGGACTCGGTGCTCTCGTCCTTCGTGGGAATGCCAAGCTCATGGCAGACCTTCTCCAGCAGAGGCGTTGGCAGTGGGGAGAAGAACGTCAGGACGCCGAGGGCAGAGATCGTGATGAATATTTCCTCTGGTGAGCAGCTGCAATCGATGAAACCAAGCATGCTGGCGAGACGCTCCAGGTGCTCGGGGCTCAACAAGCAAATTTCGTGCCGCAGCGAGAGAACGAGTGCACGAACCCGCTCACCGGCTGCCGGCGCCAACTGCTGCGTTGCCACAGCGGCGTCCGTATCAACCTGCCCTGACCTGCCCTGCTGCTGCTGCTGCTGCTGCTTGTGCCTGGCGCTGCTGTCATTGCTGTTCTGCCGCTGGCTAACGCCGGGTGACGACGACAACGGGGCGTGCGGGTTCAACCGGTCTGAAACGACGTCGACAATCGTGACAGCGAGCAAGCGAAGTCTCTCTGTTATTTTCATGCGGCATACCCGATCAGTCTCTGCCTCGTCCAGGTGGATCGTCCACAACTCCGCCAGATCCCGCATTGTGGAGAGAGTCAGCCGCCCCATCTTGTCAATGGTTTTGTTGAAGTCTTCCATGTCCTCCTCGTAGTAGGGTCCCCGCTCTGCCTCTTGCCCCTCCGCCTCGCCGCCACTGTCGTCTTCGTACAGGTTTTTGTTGTTGGCATCGCCATCAGCGCCGTCGTCGTCCAAATACCGCTCTTTCTTGTCCATGTACTTCAGCACCTGGATTGCATCACGTGAATGCTCGAATTGTGAAGCGTTCTCAAGAATGCTGTGTAAATGCAGCATCGCCGCACTCGTCTCTCCATCGCCGCCCTTTATCGATTCGGAGGTCATCAACGCCACGGCTGCCGACAGCTGCGCGCGGAACTCACGCCCTGACATACCACCCAGGGACAGTGCCACGCTGTTGTCCAGCGAAGAGGAGTTCGTTACCGTCGAAGGTGACGACGCTGCACCGTTTTGTTCATCCGCGCAGTCCTCTGAGTGCCCAAGAGAGACACATAAGCCGCCTCTGCACTGCTGCAGCAGCTGGACTAAAGTTACCCCATCCGCGAAGCTGGGTGCGAGCTCGTCACGGATAGATTGCTCATCTGCCTTGGCGCTGTTTGTTAGTGCCTCAAGTAGCAACCGCCGTGGCGAGTCCAACTGCATCCCCACATTGCGCCCACCGCCTCTACTGCTGCGGCTGCGACCAATCGCCGCGGTAGCGGTGCTGCTGATACCGTCCTCTGCCACACTGGAGGCGGGGGCGGCAAAAGAAATTGGTGGTGATGTTGCTGCTGCCAATGGGCTCAGGCCATCTCTACGCCTCTTCTTGATGGAGATTGCGTTGGCCTTTTGCACCAGACGCTCCACCATATCGAGCGCTGGCGCGGTGGCGCATTCGCCATTAGAGTCGGTTGCGCCATCGCCATTGGTGCGTGCGGCGCCGTTTTCACTGGCCCCCAGAGGAAAGAGTGCCGCTGCGCCATCGAGCCCACATGAGAACTCCACGCAGTCACCGCTGCCGCACGAGCCATTTGCCCCCTTTTTGGCGTGCGCGAGGGCGTGCAGTTCTGGGTACCTGCGGCGCAGAAGCGCTAGTGATGACTCATCCAAGTCCCGAAAAGAATTGCTGTTTCGCCCCGTGTCCTCCATCTGAGTGTGGTCACTTCTCCTGCACGACGTTATTGCTGTCTACGATGATGGTGGTACCAAGAGAAACAGTGTGTGTGAGCGTATGTGTGTACTGCTCAACGCCCAAAACAAACAGATATGGGCGTATCACTCGTGAACGAGATGAGGAGAGCTGCGACGACGATGTGGAAGGGTTCGTGTGGGAGTCAGGGTTCTCCCTTGGCTTGCTGTTGTTATCTTCGTTGTTCCGTTGGGCGCCCTTGATTTTGTTTTTGCCTCGGGCTTGCTGCAACGCTTATGTGTATCCTTCACCTGGGCCGCCTTACCCTCCTGCTTTCAATGTGTCTTCACGTTTCTCCGTATTTTGCTTCCCGTTCCTTTCTCCTTACCCACTCGAACACTCTCCTTCCTTCCTTCCTTCCTTCCTTCCTTCTGTTTTCTCTTTGTTTGCTTAGTGCCCTAGCTCGGGTCTTCGCTTTTGCTCCTACTTGCTTTTGTCCGTTCGTATAAGCGACGCACTGAAGCGCTCATACGTGGGCAAAAAAAAAGACGAAACAAACAACAGGAAGAGTGGGGCGAAGAGAGATGAACTAGTGGAATGGCGGCCAAGAGGCGGCATGCCACAATGCACGCGTCAATGCCTGCTGCTGCATCTGCCGCTGCTGCCGGCGCGTGTGCGCTCCGTGTCGCGATTTCCACACGTGTCCCTTTTACTTGTCTCATTCCTCCTTCTATTCGGTCAACTCAGCGCAGTTCGCCTCACCTCCTTCCCGGCGCTGCTGCTGCCACTCCCCGTTTCCATTCGCACCACTCCGGCCGCGACAACACCCACACCCACCCACACACCCGCACACACCGCAGCAGCAGCAGCAGCAGGGATGTTGTCTGTGGCTTTGCCGAGTAGAGGACAGGGACGGAAGTAAGAACACGGGAAACAGTAAGGGAATGGGAAACAAAAAAAAAACAAGTAAAATAAAACAAAACTAAAAGTAAGATAAAAAGAAGAAGAAGCAATCAGAACTCCATCGACCATTTTGTTTTTAAATAACTTCTTCTTCCACGCTCTCTCACTTCACATCTCATCTCTAACGCTCTGCTCATTCACAATGGAACGTGCGAGGGACAGATTAAAGAGAAATGATCTTTTCCTTTTTTTTTTCCTCCCTCGTTAAAATAACTGTATATGTATATATATATATATATATATATATATGTATACAGTTATATATTGGCTCTTTTTTCCTTTTCGTATTACTATTTCTTTTTCTTTCTTTTCGTATTTTTTTTTTGCCTGTTGCCTCTTAAGTCGGGGCTCTGCGGCACCGCAGGAGCGGGAGAACAGGCGAGACGAGCGGCCGATGGCGCCCTCACGGCGGCACCTCCCACACCACTTCAGGGCTGCACGTTTGCTGTCGCACACGAAAGCCGCGAGCAATGACAAAAGAAGAGAGGGTGCGACGAGGCCGGCACCACTTCCACCCCTCGTTACTCGCGCACCTCTGTCCTTGCGGCTGCGGCTGCTTCGCACAGCTGCGTCGCCTCGAACTTCGCCCCACCGCCTCTGTCACTCCTCTGCTCACGTCATGTCACTCGCCCTCCCCATTCCATCACTCTGCCCGCCACACCTGCACGCAGACACCCCACTCACCACTGGCTCTGGAAACCGTTCGGCATGTACCCCATCTGCGAGCGCTGGCCGAACATCGGGTTCACACCGCCGTCCGGCACTGGCCCGCGCACTTCACCGGCGCCCATCGGACGGCCGTTGAAGTTGCCCTGCATGTGGGGGTTCGCGCGCATCTGGTTGCCGCGGCCCATGTGCGGCGGCGCCTCGCCACCCCTGCCGCCGAAAGGCTTGTTGCGCGGCTGTTGGTAGGAAACACCCCCGTAGAATCTGCTGTGATCATATGGTGGCGCAGCCATGCCTTGGTTGAGCGACCAGTGGTCTGGACGCGCCTGGTGGGCCCACTGCATGTTGTCCTGCATTCCAGACGAGTACGTGTAGCCAGGTGCAGACTGTGGCGCGTGCTGCGTGTTCACCGGAGGAGCTGCAGGCGCGGGACGGGGGGGGGATTGCTGGTGCTGCTGCTGCTGCTGTTGCTGCTGCTGTTGCTGTTGCTGTTGCTGCTGCTGTTGTTGTTGCAGTTGCTGCTGCTGCTCAATGAGCTTCGCTCGCTCCTGCTGAAGGTTGTCGCTCTGGTCCTTCAGCTGACGCTCAAGAGCAAGAAGCCGGGCATGTTTCTCATTCATGTCGATTTCTTGTTGCTTGCGGTACTCTTCAAAGGTGTGACGAGCATCGTCTAATTCACAGCGCCCCTTTTCCAGCTCAGCAACGGCACTCGCCAAGGTCTGGTGGTCTGCGGGGGCCTTGAAAATGACACGAGCCCCTTTATTCTGTGATTCAAGGATGCTCTGTGGGTACTGGACTCGGCAAGCAGGGACCTCCGGCTGCACTGGCTCCGCAGCCTGTTGCTGCTGGGCGAAATGATTCACGAAAGTGTAATCATCGTCGTTGGCCCAACTAAAATGTGTGTCAGCTTCAGGGAGAGTTACCGGTTGCTGCTGGGGCTGCGGCGCCTGTGACTGAGGCGGCGGGGTCGGCATTGGTGTTGGCTGCTTCTGGTCTACCACTGAGGGCTCCTCAGGAAGTTGCTGGGCCGGTTCCTCGGCAGGAGGTGCCTCCACCCCCACAGCCATTGTTTCTACAACAGGCTCCTCTGCTGCAGGTGCCTCGGGCTCCGGCGTGGACACCACTGCCGGTGCCGGTGCCGGTGCTGCTGCTNCCATTGTTTCTACAACAGGCTCCTCTGCTGCAGGTGCCTCGGGCTCCGGCGTGGACACCACTGCCGGTGCCGGTGCCGGTGCTGCTGCTGCTGCTGCTGCTGCTGAAGGTTGCGGCGCTGGCTCTTCTACGGCGTGGGCCTCACTGACCGGACGTTTGGTGCCACCAGCTCGCAGGGCATCAAGGAAGCTCTTGCCCGACGATGCCTTAGCAGCGTTGGTGATTTGAGACTTGATGATGGGGCCAGGAGGGGACGCGGGCTCCTCCGCCTTTGGCTCCTCTCGCTTCGAGCGGGGGTGCTGCGGGTCACGCGGCCCTTTGGGTGCGGGCTTTGCGCCGTTGTTACCGTTTTGGTTTGTTGCTACAGCACGAGGAGGCATTCTTCGATGTCCGCTTCTTCTTGACGTTTACTTTCCTGTGAGTTAGTTCTAGCTGATTCTGTTGGTTTGTTCGTTTCCTATTCTGTTTGCTTTCTTTTTAGTGCTTCTTAGTGGCTGTTAAATATATTTTTTTCTTTTTTTTTAAAAGCGCGCTTGTGGTTTCTTCTTAAGAGAGAGCCTCTTTGCGTAAGAGCAGACACACAGACATGCACACACGAATACGCACAGAAAGACGTATATGTAGAGAGCGAAAGAGAAGAATATACGCACCAAAGACACAGAGGAAAAGGATGCGGGGACGGCGTGCCCCCGTCTCCAGTCAGCCTCACGACTGACGGTGTAGTGATATTGATGAAACGGAAGCATCGCGAGCAGGCCAAAGCAAAAAAAAAAAAAAA